TCAACACAAAATTTTGATGAGTTATTTGGCTTTACCTGCCTGGCTTTCCTTTCAGTTCTACCGACAAGCAAATAAAATCCACCTTGCTGCAAGGTTCATGCCTGATCCACCATTACTCAATCACAGACACAGCTGCATCAGTGCTTTTAAACACAGAAAGAGGAATTCAGTGGTTTGCAGTAGTGGAAATTTGGCCTTATTCATCAGTGGATAAAGCCTTAATCAACAGCACGATGCAGAGCTTGATTTATTCTTACGCTTGCCCTTGGCATCACAGCTACATCACCTGCTTCTCCAAGCCAGCTCCCAGCTGAGAAACACTAAGGAACCTGTTTACATTGCAGTTTGTCCCCTAGTGGCACACGGGAGACTGGTGGCTCTGACCAATAACAATCAGACCTGTGCCAGGCTGGAAAGCTGTTTGTTGTGGAAAACACCTGCAAGAAGTACACGAAAAAGCCAGGTAGATGAAGAAAGCTCTTTTCTCAGATTTTCTCCTCACAAAAGAAGGTAGAAAAGAAGGTAAGTTTTCTGTCATCAAAGCAGAGTACCTTGTCCTATATTCCCACTGCCTCTAAAAGCAACACTGATGGATGCACTGTAGGCAGCACATTTTAGTTGAATCACTTGGAAGGAACATTCACTTTGCTGTTAGCTACCTTGGAGAAAGAAGCACCCCCAAAGCACAGCTGTTCCCTGCATTTTCCCTCTGCTGCAGTTCCAGAATCTGTGCTTTGTGCCCCTTCTTCCTTGCTAACCATGGCAAGGGGATTGGGAGGATAACCAAGCAGAAAAAAATGCTCTAACTCTGCAAGAAAGTGTTTAGGGGAAAGCCCCTCATCACTAAAGCTTCTTCTCCCTTTGGATCCCAAATCAACAAACCTCTCAGGCCTTTACATACTCATCCAGCTAGAACTGCTGGATAACAAACAGCATCATTTTAACCAGACACTTGCTTCTGCCAGCCTCTTTTGGGGTGATGGAGCAAACCTTCACAACACGCTTCATTTCTGTTAGAATGAAACACAGTTGTATTAGTGAGGGCTTAAATCACCCTCCCCAGATTAGCCTGGTAACAGAAAAGCCAACTATTTATGTTCCTCCGTGCTTGTTGTCTACCAAGGGCTGTATTTCTCTGTATACTTGACCTTTGGCTTCCATCACAGTAGGTCTGAACAAATCTGAATTGGAAGAAAACAATGCACTGAATCTCAAATCATCATATTTTCCTTGTTTGAACTGTTTGACCTTGCCCTTTATGTTTTGCCACATATCTTACACTGCACTTCATTACAAGGACTGCAAATAGTCATTTTTTCCCCTCTTCTATTCATTATAAATACAGAAAACACGAGATAACCTTTCATTAACCTTTAATTAGAAGAGAACCAGTTTGGTTTATCACACAGCAAGGACGCAGGAGCAGTAACGGATAAGATAAAAAGTAATAAGGGTTGAAAGTTTGGGAAATTAGAATAATCACTGAGACATGATATAGAGAAGTGGAATGAGATGAAGGGAATTAAAATGAAGTCTAAATGTCTGCAGAGGTGCTCAATAGGGAGATTTATTCACTTGTAAAACAGCTTCAGTTACCAAGTAGGAAATAGTATGTCCAAATAGTTAAAATGACACTAAAAAATACCTTGTAGAAAGCAATCTTTCACTATCAGCAGATAAGCTTTATTCTTTCTGACCCTGGGCATTAGCTACATAGACATTGATTTTAGATGTGTGAACTACTGACAGAAAAATATCAGGTCTTCCTACATTACCAGAGGAATTGCTGACAAGCTGGCTGCTAAGCCTTGTTTCCTTGTCCCAGCAAAACACCCCGTACACTGCTCTGAACAAAGAATGCAAAGTGAAAGGAATGTTTGCTTCAACCACCAGCTGATATTTGATTTCTGCAGCTAGTTTCTCTAGGAGCTGCCTGTAGTCAGGGGTAAGACTGCCCTTGCCAAGGCAGACTTCAGACAGCCTTGCTCTGGAGCTCTGAACTACATTCAGAAGATCTCTCTCTGGCTGACTGATTAACCAGCTGGCTAAGACCAATGCCAAAAGTTGGGTGCTGTGAGTTCTTTCTTCCTCCTGTCAAATCTTTGTTGAGTTGATCAGTTTCATCAACTTAAGAATGCATTCATTAACAGAGGGAAAAAAACAGTATTTCAACTGTTGCTCACAATGGTGTCTAGACCATTATCCTGAATTACTCTGAAAAGATAAGATCTGATGAAATCCACAGCTGGATTACCAGATAGTGAAGCTTAGTTTAAACAAAAATCTACATCCACTCACTCCGAAATATTCGTCTCTTGTAGAAATGCATTACCTATTTGTTAAGTGTCAAATCTTGTTTTCATTGCCTCTTTTGCTGCACAAGCATTTTGATGCATGTCACAGCTGCAGGGCTGGCTGCACACATATTCACAAGAGCTCTTGTATCTTCAGTGAACTCTGCCTTTCTCAATCCTCTGTGATGGAATGATTCTTCTCCTCCTATACCCAGATCCTATACCTTACAGAAACGGTTAAATCTTTCCTATGCTACCTTATGAGCAGAAATAAGTTGAAGAAACAATTATGGTGCTCTTAGGAAGTATGTTTTGGTTTAATCTTGGAAGGCCAATTGCATTTTCAAACTTCAACTCTCTGCATTCTATACCAAAAAGCATGCAGAGCTGATTTTCAAAACTTCCCTAAAATTATTCAAATGGCCACTTGGGAGTTTAAATCAGTGATTTAGACATCAGATTTAAGAACAAATAGACTATATGAGAAAAGCTAAGTCCACTAATACATTTAGACAGAAACTCCCAAACTTTAAAACCTCACCATGTAAATAACAGTGCCCACAGAAATATGATCTTTAAAAACTGGTTTGCTTCTTCTTGTCAGAAATCTGCAGTACTGTGTTTCGACTAACTCTCATACTTGTATATTCCTGTACATACTTTGGTCTTTTGAGTTTTCTTTCTTTTGGAGAGGAAGATTTTTTTTGCTTCATAATATGCTTTATGGTTTTCTACTAAGATAGTAAACGCTTTAATGTTTGTATCCTGATGCAATCACCTTCATCCTCTATAAGCAACTACCTTAAGAAGAGGTGGAGGTGTAGACAAAAGGACAAGGTTTGGTATGAATGTCTCACCTCTGCAGGTTCTCCCTCTTATCAATGGAAAAAGATGTGTTCCTTTAAAAAGAGAGCAAGCTGCATCTAGCTTAGGTACGTGGAATTAGCTCAGTATATTACAATCACAGAATTGGCAGGGATGGAAGAGACCTCTGAAGATCATCTAGTCCAACCCCCTGCCAAGCAGGATCACCTAGAGCACGCTGCACAGGATACAGCACATTGTGGAGAATGACAATGAACCTTCTGTTTTCTCCCTCTTTAAAGAAGCCTATTTCTGGAGGCTACGGAGGAAGCTTAGGGAGATAGTCTTGTTAGGCAATTAATCTAATCTAAGTCTCATTAGGCAATGCAGCATCATTCTTGAACAAATTTTTGCAAGGGTCAATACAAATCAGACATTTGCTACAAGGACCGTACTCCTCTTTTTTGCAGGTATCACACATCTTTCAAGACTGATGACCAAACTAAACTTCTTACGTGTCCCCCATGTCTTAGGTCTTGGATGCCAGCCAGCAGTTGTATTGCAGAAAAGGCCAGGGCAAAGATGGTAATGGCACGCTACCTCGTTGCAGTGACTCAACAGGAACAATCTTGTTCGAGGGCATTCTCACACTTGGAAGTAGCTCTTCCCAATATTGCTGCTAGACCCACTAGCACGTAGGCATGTTATCTTTATCAAAGGTGTAAGGAACTTAGCTCCATGAAAGAAACTAGTAGAACTAGTGAATATAGTTGAGAAGTCTCAAAAGGCCAATGGAACCTCATAAACTCCAGACCAGTTTCACAATATACCAGAATGAAAAAGAACCCAGAATCATCATCATCTTGAGATCAGACATCAGATCACAAGAGCAAATCTGTAGAGAGTACATAGTACCATCTAGAAATCATACAGCAGCTGACTGCTGCATGAGTCCTTTTTTCTCCCAGGTACCCTTTCTCAAATCTTTCTGCAGAGAAGCATCCACATTATTTGATGGCAAAGGAAGAATGCTGCACGAGCACAAGTCTCCTTGCTCTTATACAATCTGCTGTCAACACAGCAATAGAAAACTGACCAACTGTTTAGCAACACTGCAAAAGAAGACGGGAGAGCAACTCAACACCCTGTCATCGTTTTGGCTGGGACAGACTTCTTCGTACAAGCTCACACAATGCTGTGTTTTGGATTTTTTTCTTCAAATAGTGGTGATAATACACTGATGTTTCTGGTTGTTGCAGAGAATTATTTGCATAGAGCCAAAGACTTTTTTGCTTCTTGTGCTGCCCTGCCAGAGGGGAAGTTAGCAGTGTGTGGGAATCTGGGAGGGGACACAGCCAGGACAGGTGATCCAGGCTGACCAAGGAGGTATTCCATACCATGCGACATACCATACTCAGCAATAAAAGCTGGGGTAAAGAAGGAAGAAGGGGGAGATGTCCAGAGTGGTGGTGTTTGTCTTCCCAAGAAACCATTATGTGTGACGAGGCCTGCTTTCTTGGATGAGCTTGAGTATCTGCCCGCTGATGGGAAGAAGTGAATGAATCGTTTTGCTTTGTTCGTGCACACAGCTTTTGCTTTACTTAGTAACCTGTCTTCATCTCACCCCGTGAATTCTCATGCTTTTACCTTTCCGATTTTCACCCCGTCCCATCTGGGAAGAGGGAGTGAGTGGCTGTGCAGCACTTAGCTGCCTACCGGGACTACACCACAATGCTCCCAATAAGCACAAACAATGCCTTAGTACTAAAAACTAATAAGAAGCCCCAGTCATTGCCCCTTATTGATCATTCTGACCAGTTAGGGTTCTCAGCTATATTTTCAGTCATTTGCTCTATAACGCTTTTTATCAAGGTAAGAGGAAAAGTAAAAGCCCCAACTTACTGAAAGCAATTTGGTCCAAACACAGTGGCAAGATTGCAGAGGTTCATCCTGTTCTCTACATGATGTTCAGCAACTTTTATCAGGAACTGGCACAGATACTTCAGCAGGCAGTAATGTGCTTCAGGCAGTTCTTTAAGGAGTTCTTTTAAGTTACTTTCCTTCTGTATGTCATTTCTAGCATCTAGGAAAAACAAAAAGAGAAAAAACATACACATGTATATATGTGTGTGTGTGGTTTTCTACACTGCTGCCAATTTACGTAATGGGTGAGCAAACAATGGGATATAAAACGTAGTCTCATTTCTGTTCTGAGATCAACCCCCTCAAATTTCCTCAGTGCACCTATACCTTCCTCCTGAGGCTTATTACAGCCACCACTGGCGCTGTTTCATGCCTACCTTTACAATGTACTGTTTTCTTCAGCAGAAGAAGCAGTGGATAAAGATAGCAGCATTAGAGCATGTTTATTCCCAACTTCGCACAATTACATTTCTGCATGTTATTATCTCTGCTTCCCAAGACCTATCTCTTTGTTTTTTAGTTTCCCTGCCCATGATAAACTTCGAAAAGAATAAAGCAAGAATGGTAAAAGAAGGGGGCTCCTGAAATGCAGTGTTGTTAGAATAACAATAGTGCAGTGCCTTCAGCAGGTACATTTTATGAAAAGCTCAATTTTGTACTGTTTTGACACAATGACACACATACTATGACAACTCACAATGACAACTCCATACTAAGTCTTTGATAAGGAGACTTGCTTAAGGAAAAAAGGGTGTTTAGGGAACTGTTACATTCCATAAGGAGCCCAGATTTGGCCTAATGTTAGAGAATAGCCTTGTAATACTGTACAATCTTCTAGAATTTAAGTATGGATAAAAGCCTGACATTAATCAGTTCAGTATGGGAAAGCAGGACTAAAGCCAACTTCCTTTCATGCTGTACTCTTTTTTCTTAAAAAAAAAAAAAGAAGCAAAAATTGCATTAACTTCAGAGATGCTGTGCTTATACAGACTCAAGCAGTGAACACAAGCTTGGCCTCACACACAGTTTCTACTTCATTTTGTTTTGCTTCTGGAATTGAACTGAAAAACCACAAAATTTTTTGCTCCCTTTCTCCACATGATTGCTCCCCTTCACCACTTTCCAAAAAGCAATTTGTACCAACCAAAATGTTAGTTTTGCATTTTGTTAAAGTAAAATTTTGAAAAAAAAATCATAATTCCCCTTCCTTTATGTCAAAACATGCCTTAACACTTGTAAGCACTCATTTCTACTCTCGTCCAAAACACAATTTTATTGTAACTCTCATATACAGTTATTGGGTTTTTGTACAACCACACTTTTAGACAGAACTCAGGCACTAAATGTTTTCCTTACCAATCTAATTACAAGCAGAGTCCATTAGCAGGAGTGCATTTCTAACAGTTTTATTGTTATGATCAGCCTTATGAGTTGATGGTTTCAGGGTTGTAAAGCTGTCATGTAATTGTTTTTTTCTTAGAGAAGGACACGAAGGTTTATTGCTTGACAAAGCCAAAGTGACCTTACATTAAGTTCTTACCCTCTGTGTTCTCTGCAAAAGACTGCCTTGTCCCAAAGTAGCTGCTGGCTTATCATGGGAATAAAGACATCCTGTCCATTCTTAGGGTAACAAAGAATTTTTTCCTTCAGAGGACGTTACGATCCTCAGCAAGTAGTTTTACCCAGCACTCAGTCAAAACCAAACTGGCCACAAAAATGAAACTGTCTGGTAGGCTAGACTCAACAGGTAGTGGTCAGTGGCCCAAAGCCTACTTGGAGCCATTAATGAGCAGAGTGCCCCAGGGGTCACTACTGGGTCCAGCCCTGTTTAACATCTTCATCAACGATCTGGATGATGAGGTAGAGTGCACCCTCAGTAAATTTGAGGATCGCATGAAACTGGGAGGAGTGGCTGACTCACCAGAAGAGAGGGCACCTTGACGGGCTGGACAGGTAGGCGGACAAAAACCTTGTGAAGTTCAACAAGGAGAAGTGCAGTGTCCTGAACCTGGGAAGGAACAACTCTAGGCACCAGTATATGCTGGGGACCACCCAGCTATAAAGCGGCTCTGCAGAAATGTATACACCACGTTGAACACGAGTCGGCAGCATGCCCTCACTGTTAAGAAGGCCAATAGTATTCTTAGCTGTATTATGCAAAAGTATCACCAGAAGGTCAAGATAGGTGATCCTTTCCCTTTACTCAGCACTGGTGAGGCTACACCTGGAGTGCTGTGTCCAGCTCTGGGCCCCCCAGTACAAGAGACATATGGACATACTGGAAAAAGTCCAACGGAGGGCCACCAGGATGATCAAGGGACTAGAGCACTTCTCCTATGACAAAAGGCTGAGAGCATTAGGACTGTACAGCCTGGAGAAAAGGAGGCTCAAGGAGGAGCCTCCTCATGTGTATAAATACCTGAAGGGAAGATGCAATGAAGACAGAGCCATATTTTCAGTGCTTCCAGGTGATGGGACAAGAGGCAATTGACACAAATAGGAACACAAGAGGTTCTGCCTGGACATCAGGAAGCACTTGTGCTGTGCAGATGACAGTGTGCTGGAACAGGTTGCTGAGAGAGTTTTTAGTCTCTCTCCTTGGAGATCTTCAACAGCCACCTGGACTTGGTCCGGGGCAACCTGATTCAGGTGTTCCTGCCTGAGCAGAGGGTCGGACAAGATGGCCTCCAGAGGTCCCTTCCCATCTCAGCCATTCTGTGAAAAATTCTAAATCTTCAAGACTTGTCTATAGTCAATAATATGCAATAAACAAGGCTGGGTCTGAAACTGTTCAGCAACTAGCTGCTGCCTGTTGTACATCCTCCTGGTTCCACACAGAGAAGACTGGCAGGAAAATATCCCATGCCTTGCATTGCCAAAACAAAGACTTTGAAGGAAAGGACATTTTACACTGTCCCAACATTTTTGCTTTGAAAAGGCTGTGAACATAGTGCAAGGCATGTATAAGCATGCTTCACAATTTTCATCCTCATTTTTACTTTTGATTTCCCAGAAATATTCCAGGGCTGGATTGCACAGTATTCTAGGTATAGCATCCTTTAGAAAGAGGTTAGCTGTGTAAATTACCAATCTGTATAAAAATATCTGAAAGTGATCCCAAAAATTCATGATTTCTCTTTTACAACCAGATATTTTTGTGGCTAATAAACAGGACTTACCGTGCATATCATTTGGGAAGCAAATTAATTTCTGTATGTATGTACTTATCACTTCATAGAGGCATTTCCGAGATTTCATCTGCTACTACGCTTCAGTTTCCTGCCTTACATGACATGCAGTAAAAGGCGAGAAAAGCCTTTGGAAGTTTTATACTCACAGAATGCTAATTTTTATCTCTCTGTTTTGATACCGCATACTTAATAAGAATTACTTCATGAGAGCAGGCCAAAGTTTAAAATGCCAGTTAAATTATAGGACCAGACATTTCAACTAAGTGATTAACTATATTCTTTTCTGCTGCAGCTAAGAAATTATCTCCATCAAAGAATGCAAGTATCAAATATGCATGAAGGAAATATGCAAAAATCTCACTTGCTTACTTATGGCAAGTGTTTCTTTGAAAAATATTTTGAGATATATAGAAAAAAAAATATCATGACTTCATTACAATGAATCAGCTTGGTAAGAGTAGGAAATCTGACTTATTTTTATTTCTGCAGCAAAATTTCACAATGCCTCTAGAAGTCTATGTTAAATTGAATAACAATAAGGAATTTAATGGATTTGTATTTTCACTGATAAACCGGAATGGACAGTCCCTGACTTGATTACTAATTATCTTTTCATGAAGCTCAAAGAAAACCAAAACAAAACTAATTTCCCCATAGAGAGAACACTGAATTTCACCTTGTAACATACTTCTGTTTGAATAACAAAACAACTGCACAGTGTTTTTTTTTTTTTTTTTTTTTTTTTTTTTTTTTTTTAACTATAAATTGTTTGCAGTTATGATAAGGAATGGCAAAGCCCCCACTCAGGAAAAACAAACAAACAAAAAAAACATCTCCTACTACCATCTCCCCATCACCTAATTAGGGAATGCCCCTGAGAACTAATTGCCTCTCTGAACCTCCCACTGGGGCATTTGATTGACAGGTGCTTTTCCATTTACTGAAGGATTTTCCATCCTTTTAAAACCAGAAAGATGCTAATAACCTCCACAAAATATTTTGAAGACAGATTTGCCCTGACTACACAGAAAGCTAGTGGCCTCATGATACCAACTGTATTTAGTGGGTCTGATGTCCCTGGTCATTAAACACGATTTAGTACGTGGTGTGGACCGGAGATGCTTATTTCTGGACACAACAAAACCTTTGTTCCCTCCTCAGTACTATCTTAGTATCAGGTGTGTTCTGCTTTCACTTCTGTCCTTTTAGAAACACAGACAGATATCAGACCATAAGACCTTCAGAAACTACACTAATTGCATGTCACAGAACCACTGAACAGCAGGAGACAGAAAACCCATTCACTGAGCCATGAAATTCTTTGCCCTGCTGAAAGGGGAACAAGAAAATCTCTCTCTATCTCCCCCTTTTCCAGTGAAAAGGCAAGGGAAGGATATTGAACCTTCCTCCCAATGCAATTCAAAAATCAACAAATTTGTTAATTATCCTGCTGCTGAGACTCGAGCTTTATTTCTAAAAGCTACTAATTACCCTTATACTGAATTCAGAGAGTAACGTGCACGTACAGTGTAACATGCACTTTGCACATTTTGCAGGACGAATGGAACTTGGCTGTCCATGACCACAAGATTTCAAATAAAACAGTTTTTCAACTTACTGGAGAGCCCAAATATTTGTGAGTCATGACAGATGATTTCCTGTAGTGCTCTTTCTTCTTTTTTCCACCTGCTAGACAATATTCCAATTTGTCTCAAAATCAATCATAAAAGTTTACTCAGCTGGTAGTGACCATCAGAGAAACATTAAGGTACCAGAGCTGTTTACACTACCATACAGACAAGCATCAAGTGTATCAAAGCCCTAAGCTTATGTAGTTGCCTAATTTTGCAAGGTACAAGATGTCCTGTGGAAGTAAGACTACCAAGAGCAGTCTTACTTATTAAATTAGATTACAGAGTGCAGCATGAAGCTAAGCATATGCTGCAGTGCCTTGAGATGAGACAAATGA